AGTTCATTGCATACTGGAATGAAAGCACTTAAAGCAGCTGATTGTTCTCTGCCAATATGAGGGTATAGTTTCTTCTTATACACTTATACACACATGTAGTTTAGATCTGGCACTTTTCCTTACCTCTCCCCTTGCTTTGTGTTTCTCAGGCTTGATGTTTGAAGACAGTTGGTTGTTGACATAATTGGCTTTCTTGCCCTGGGAAACTCTAGCTCCAATGCATCTCCCACTTTTCCCACACAAACAAGGTCTGTTTTTCAATGTGTTCCTTTTTAGTATTAATAATAATAATAATAATAATAATAATAATAATAATAATGTCCTTTGGACATTAATAAACTTTCTATAATAGTGTGAACAAAATATAATTCCAATACAACCATATATCCATCAAGATCATCATAGCAATGAACTATGTGTTCTGACAATACATTCCAGCTTCACTTCCTTTACATATTTAGAATGCATCTTCTTCTGAAATAAACTGAAAAACATAATTGAAAGACAGTATAGAGTACATTGTTTTGTAAGAAAATCAAGGTCAGGTACACAGCAGACAATGGATTTGGTTTGTGGAGGGAAAGCAAAGATATATTTAGCTAATGACCACAATGCTTGCATTTCCCCCCCCCCATTCCATCTTTATTAGGCAGTGAACTGAATCGCATTATGCTAACACGAACATCTAAGTGCCTATATAGGAGATGCTGTAACAGCCTGATAGGACCTCACACAATCCACCCTACTTTCAATGTATTGGAAATCACTAATCAACTTTCAAGCCATCTAAGCAACCAGTCAAAACAATAAAGCTGCCAGGTCCAACAATTTTAGATTTTCAAAGGTAAGATAACATGATAAATGCCAAGCTTTATCATGTTATTGCTTTAGTTGAAGACCAAAACAAACCCAAGACAACGGACACAATATTTCTAGCTTTTTGTAGCCTACACATACAGTATTTGCTACCGTCCACCTCTGGGACTGCAAGAAGCCCTTGAGCACAGCACAGCATGAAGCGACAGCTGCCCCAGCCCAGCTGCACAAAGCCACCCCAGGAAGCATCTGTTCACCAAGCTACCTTCTCTTCTAGTTCCCTATACCAACCTCTCGTCTTTTTCACCCAGCCCCTGCGGCCGAAGCAGAAGTGCCTCGTGGCCTTTGCTGTCTCCTTTTTGGACCCAGCTTCTCTGACAAGCATTTCCTACTTGTTGCTTCCTGAGCCTTCAGAAAGGGGCTTGCTTTTGCCAGCTTCACACAAAGGGGCAATAATAATAGGCTAAGGACAGGATATCTCAACTGGAACATTATGGGAAGTTACTGGATACATCTAGGACTGATTAACTAAAGATGGCTAAGGACAAAACAGTGTTTCTAGAATCTCATTTTCATTCAACTAAACTACAGTATATGTATTGGAATTCCAGAGAAAGTTGAGAAAGAATATCCAGTTTGCTTTATTAGCATTTTGATTTGGGAAATATTAACTCTGCTGGAAGACTATAAATGTTTCAATGTTTCTTTTTCATATATCTGATAAGCTCTGGCCATTTATTATCAGATGTGTTGTGAGGACTGAGATTTTAAATATGGTATGTTCTCTGTGTGTGATTGAATAGCAAACACAAATTTATCCCTGATTTTACTAAGGAAATCCAACAACATAGAAAAAATGTTTAGCAACACAAGAAACCCTATTTAACTCAAGATTTACTTCAAAAAAAAACAACAACCAAGAGGCCATATCAGTATACAAGAAATTATAACCACAACCTCTTATCTTTTAGAGTTAAAGCAAGAATAGCAGATAATAATCTGACATTGACAGAAGTCTGATGACCCTGAATACATCCAGCTTGAGTTGAATGCATTGTAGTAGCATCTTTCAGATGAACCTCTGAAAAATTCTTTAAAGGCACTATAAGATCTTTCAAGAGATTGTATTACCTTCCTGGACAATACAACATTCTGGTCTCCTATGATGATCTCTTTGTAGGCAGATTATACTTATTCCATCACATTATTTTACACAAACTTACAAATACTGAATACACATCTTTGGTAAGGAAATCCTGCTAGATTTTCATTGCATAAAATCAGAAAGGTCAGTTTAACTTTCCACATTTTTATCATTGGTCATTTATCCTAGCTTGGTTGTTGACTAGATTAAGGAATATTAAAATTTAGCTCTGCTTTGGTCTATCCTTAAAATTTATTATCTGACCACACTGAAATCTTGGTAAGCATTGAGATCAGGTCCGATGCCTAAATGTAAAGCTGGAAGATAAATACGGAAAACATTGGGTTGCAGATATAACTTGTAAAGCTTTACATTAAGGGAAATCTCAGTTAAAAAAAAATAATGGCTACCTCTCTTTTGATTAACCTGGGGCTCTCACATAACATTATCATTTTGGAACTACTCAGCTCTGAGGAAGCTGTTTTTAAACCTTTGGCAGAATTAAAATATAAATTTATCTCAGACTGCTTCTTGGCAGTATGTTCAACATAGGTACTTTTGATTTGGCTTATTTGGTCCAGATGCATTTGATGCTTCTAATGCTCCAGTGTGGGTAGAAGGTCTAGAGGAATTGTCAGTGGTTCCTTCACCAGTAATTTTTCTTTAATAGGAATTTGGTGAAATTAATATCAGTTATTTACCTTTGGAAAAATAACTTTGAATGTCCATTGGACTATTGCAACATGGTCTACATGGGGCTGATCTTGAAGAGCATTCAGAAGCTTCAGCTGGTACAGAATGCAGCTGCCTGGGTTGCAAAAAGTGTCGGCTACTCCGCACATGTAACACCAATGCTTCGGGAGCTGCATTGGTTGCTGGTGTGTTTCCGGGTCCACTTCAAGGTGCTGCTTGTCTGAAGCCCTTCATGGCTTGGGACCACATTACCTTAGGGACTGTCTTTTCCAAGTTGTTTCTACCTGTCCATTCTGGTCTGGCAGGATGGGCATGCTCTGGGTCCCATCAGCAAAGGAATGTCAGCTGGTGGGGACCAGGAGACATGTTTTTTCTGCTGTGGCACCTGTCCTCTGGAACATCCTGCCTCCTGAGATTAGGATGGCCCCAACCCTTTTGGTTTTTCAGAAGGCCTTGAAGACTTGGCTTTATACCTGGGCCTGGGGCCCCAAGTGTGTGAAGGGCCCTGTTTCATGGTTGTCCTGACACCAATGGTTTTTAAAGATCTCTTGGTTGTATTTATATTTAATTTTCTATATTGTTTTAAGTGTTTGATTGCTTTTATTATTGTTAGCTGCCCAGAGTCACTGGTCTGAGATGGGCAGCTATATAAACTGAATAAATAAATTAATTAATAACTGGTAAAAGGGATGCCTTTGCACTGATTGTGCATAAATTTTGTCAAGTTTGTTTATCTTCTACATTCTGACCCACTTGCCTTTGCTAGGCAAGTACTAACAATTTGGCAGCATGAAGGACTCTGTTATACTAGTTTGCCATAAGCCTATGAGAAAAAAGGTGGCAATCATAATTCAACTTCATGAAACTGACGTAAGAATGCAAAAGCAGACTTTTAAGCACTCAGTCTTTTACCAGGATAGAAAAAAAATATTTTAATTTCACTTTGTCTCACATAATAATTTTAATGTTTTTTTCTATTGGGTTTATGAATACACTTGTGTGTCTTGGTAATTTCTTTTGCTCTTTGCAAATATTGTGTGATGATTATGCCAACATACAATAAATCATCTTGGTAACGTCTTGTAAAAAAACAAGCTGAACAAAATTCTTATGAATCGCTGGGTTTGAGAATTAGGCAGAAAATGGAAGCCTGTTTTACTTTGCATGTGGAATTTTCAGGATATTAATAGACAGATTTCAGTATAGCACTAAAACTTTGGTTAGACTGGCAATATTTCTCAGGAGACATCTGCAAGTTCCTATTTTTATGGCATACATTCATCAATATAGGTTTCAGAAGAGAAGACAAAACTGGTAGGAACAATTTTTACCTATAGATCTTTGCACAGTATGCCAAGATAATTCATTATTTCACAGTCAGTAAGCTAAAGTCAGACATGCTGATACTGAAAAAGTGATTAATTTTGATAGCATACTGCTCCCAGTCAGTTTGGGTATCCAATTTCAGACAGCAGAAAGATGAAGGATTTAGATAGACAGTCTCCATGTGACTGCTATGGCCACTTTCCTCTACAAAGTTTCTTCTTAATGACTTCATGTTATTATTATCTTATCAATATAATTTCTGATTCAATTAATCATTTTGCTGAGATGAATTTAATCACTTCCTGGGGACATTTATGAGTTCTGACCTTTGCCTCTTAGGAGATATTTATAAGAACATAGGTCTCACCCAGGTTCAGCCATCATTCCAAAGGAAAGGATATTAATCGAATGAATGAATCAATCAATACATTTTGCAATGTTGTTTTCCAAAGTTTTAAAAAACCCTACATATAAATATATATTTTGAGAGTAAAAAGACATGTAAATAGAAAACATTTTGAAATTATATTCAAAAAGTGAATAGATTTAATACATAAATACATATTTATTGCAAATTATGATAGAAGTTGTGCAGTGAGGGAAACCAGAGCCATGAATTCTGGAATACAAGTCTGGAAAGCAGGAAAGTATATGCTAAAGCAAAATCAAAGTGTGATTTCTTTAATGCATAGTTTAATGTTTCATTCAGTATCTTTTCCATTGTTTTTGATGGCAGCTTTGTTTTCTCATGGCCTACTGGTGTCACTTAAAGTGCGTGTCACATGTGTGCTTTTGAATCTGTCTTGACTCTTGGTGACTGCTTGGATAAGTCCATTCTATTTTCTTGGCAACATTTTCAGAAGTGGCATGCTATTTCCTTCTTCTTAGAGCTGAGAGAGGGTGGCTGGCTCCAAGTCACTCAGATGGTTTTGTGCCTAAGGTGGAGATAGAACTCCCAGTCTTCTGGTTTCTAGCCTGGTGCATTTAGCTACTACACCAATGGGTTTCATCATTTAAAGCAGCTGACCCAAATTCTGCCTCTGATAATTGTGTGACATATTCCTTTTTGGTGGTAAGCCAAAATGGTTTTATTTCCTTACCTAAGCAATTTTTTATCTGCTTGCTTATTCACCAAGGTATTCCACTGAAGCCTTTTTTCCCCAGAAGTCATGCTAAAAAGCAATAGCTTTGTGTACCTCATGGTAAGCTGGGATTGTTGGGCAGTTTAGAAATGATCAGTCAATTAATAAATAAATCCTATTTCAGGATGACACAGATGGATTCTCAGAAAACTTTTCATTGTTCTTGTAAAATATACCCCATTAAATGTATCTGGAGAATGATGAGACTTCCAAGGAGGAAATGGTGAGTTGAAGACGGCTCCATGAAAAGTGGGGCCCACAAACACAGTGGAATGAAGAGTTGGCGAGCAGACTGGCTCTTTGGTAATTCCTCTCTGGACAAGGAGAGGCTTGAGATCACCCGCAATTGCTCCAGACAGTTGCTTCTTGCAAGGAGACTGAAAGTCAGCTCTGGGAGACAAGGGAATAGCCATCTCGCTTAAAGCAGTCGGCACCTTTGAAAGGACACCAAGTTCACATACTTCCTTTTCTAATCACTTTTGGATATTGCTTGTTAACTACTTTTCAGCTATTATAAAACCATGTTTTATAGCACCAGGTGAATTTCCTTCAATTCTTAGAGAAAGAGTTTTAAATACAAGTTTAAGGACTTTGGGGGGGGGGGAGTGATAAAAGCAAAAGGGTGATTAAAACTTTGATTTTAGAAAGTTACAAATGGACTAAGGGTCCAGATAAATTTTAAATAAGATTTTGGAATTAATTATAAAGAATTCTTTACATGGAAAAATGCTTTTGTTCTGAATTCTTCTTCTTTTTAAATAAGATAAAACTTTAAAAATTGGACACTAGGGGGAACTAAAAGAAACTAAAGATTACAATTAAAGGAGAAGAACATTCAAACTCCACTTACTAATACAGAATGAAGCAAAATATTTTAACATTGCACATATTGAAGGATATTTTTGAACAATGGACCCAGAAGTTAATTTCAAGAGTATCTGCCTCTATAGATAGACTGTGTTTAAAAGATGTTATGGAAGAGGAACAAGTTTTACCTG